GCGATTAATATATGAAGATTCGCGGGGATAGTTACCAAGCAACGGCTCTGGTCGTTTACACAAAAATATTAGTATCCCAAAATATGTAATCTTATTTTCTGCATATATACCATTATGTTGGACCATTGCATCCAACAATACTTTAAAGGTGGGTATGAAAATAAGAAGGAAGGAACCAGAGTTCACGATTTTAATAAAGCATCGAGTCTCGTGAAGATTTAATGCATAAGCAATAGTTGTCATAGCGCCTTGTAGTAATTCGGCTATTGACAATCCGTTATTTATATCTTTCAAAATAATTGAATCTTTGCAATTATCGACAGTCGTATCAACTTCACCATCAGCATATTTGCTCAAATTTTTCTCAATGAATAAGTGCAATAAGGCAAAATCTCTATTAGAAGGCCCTAATTTTGCAACCAAATCTCGATCAACCAAATAAGCTATATCTTTATTGAAATCATTAAGAATGGAAATGGAAAGTTTTCTTTGCGCTGTCGCTTCAAAAGGTGAGTTTTTATGACTAACGCTGCCACGTCGTAAATAAGGACTACTCTCTGATTGAGCTCTAGAGTCACTGTAATTCAAATCATTGCTTCCGGAAGAAACCAATCTCTCAGACTGTTGTGTGCGAATAGCAAAATTTTGTGACTGACTATTATTGGATTGTCTAAACAAAAATAAGGGAAGATTGTAATTTGCGACGATTAGTCCACTGGAACGAAGCAATACAGATAATTGAAATAATTTTGACGGGTTGAATGTTCTTAGTGTAGTCAAGGACAACGCCTGAGGATGTTGTTTCATACGGGACCTTGCGATATAACTAATTTGATCGAACGTTACTAATTGCGATAATTTCAATCTATCCGCAGCAAATATTTTATTGGTAAATGATTCACAACGATTCCTCATTTGGGAATGTTGTAAAGGTTCCATCCAAAGTTCTGCTATCACTTCAGTGTCAGAAATAAAAATATGATGCTGTATACCACACACAATTGTTTGATCTACAGATGAAGTATCAGAATCATCCTTTGAGAATTCCAATTCATGATAAAAAATTTTTTTATTTTCATGCTCAAAAACTAACAAACATCCCTCATTCGATC